CAGTGTGTGAAGCACTGGCCTTGCCCTCAAGAAGCTGAGCTTGGAGAGCTAATCGAAGGTGGTGTGCACTCTCCCTCCCTCCCTCTCTCTCTATCGCCACGCACATCGCAATTTGAGAAGGGAGAAAAGTGGGGACTTTCTTTTCCCTCAAGTCCACAGAGGAAGTAGCACTGGCTGAGGCATGGCGAGAGAGAGGGAGGAAGGGAGAGCATGCACCACCTCTGATTAGCTCTCCAAGCTCAGCTTCTCACCGCTGCTGCAGCCAGCACTTCACACCCGGCTGGTGCGTGGGTCACTGCGGTGCTTGAACGAAGATACACATTCAGTCCAAGGGAGCCAAGGAGAAAGAGGGCGTCTGCTCGCCTGCCCCCCCTGCTGGCCGGGGCTACGATTAGGGTTCTGTGGCAGATTGCCTTTGGGTTAGTGTGGAGCCACCTTGGGCCTCCCTCTCTTGGTCTCCTTGCGTTGATTGAGTCTGGTCTAAATACTGATATACAGTCAGCATCTATAATATTCAGTATAAAGATTAAAACAGCCATTATGTAGGAAAGACCGACAGAAAACTAGGAGTCAGACGATGGGAGGGAAACTCCTTAATCTCCCAGCACACAAACAGACTCAGCCTTAGTTTCAACTGGGAAACTGTGAGCATCCTAGAGCAAGCTAATAATAAACTAAAATATAAAATGTATCTCCTATCACAGCTGAAAGTTTTCAGGTGATCCTTGACTTACAACAGTTCATGTAATGATTGTTCAAAATTACAATGGCTCTGACCATTTTTCACACTTACAACCATAGCAGCATCCCTATCATTACATGATCAAAATTCAGATGCTGGGCAACTGGTTCATATTTATAATGGTTGCAGTGTTCCAAGGATATGTGATCCCCTTTTGCGATCTTCTAACAACCAAAGTCAATGGGGAATCCAGATTCACTTAACAATTGTGTTATTAACTTAACAAATGCAGTGATTCCCTTAACAACTGTGACAAGAAAAGACGTAATATGGAGCAAACTCACTTAACAGATGTTTCACTTTGCAACATAAATTTTAGGTTCAATTGTGGCTGTAACTTGAGGACTACCTGTAATTTCTGTGAACTACTCCCAATCTAATCTTGGACTCTTACTCTGTGCTTGCAGAATAAATTCCAGCAGCACTTAATACTTCTTTACAAAATAAAAATCTTCTTTCTTAGTTGTGCAAAATCTATCAGTAGATTTAAAGAAAATTTACCGTTTCAGGAACAGTTCATAAATACTGAAAGGGAGTGTTTTTGTTATTGTTTTTATTGTTAGCTATTCAGAAGCAGTATGCAAATTCTTATTAATTTAGAATAACTAGAAAAGCAGAATCAGTTCATAAAAATAAGACTTGGAGAGTGATAGAAACTGATCGATTAATTGAAAATAACATTGTTTGCACTTGGATGAATTCTCATTTAGCTAGTAATCCTCAACTTTGTAACCACAATTGAGCTCAAAATTTCTGTTGCTAAGCAGCACAGTTGTAATGAGTTCAGCCCCATTTTATGACTTTTCTTGCCATAGTTGTTAAGGGAATCCTTGAAGTTGTTAAGTTTGTAACATAGTTCTTAAGTGAATCTGGCTTCCCCATTGACTTTTCTTGTCAGAACATTGCAAAAAGGTGATCACATAGTCCAACACACTGCAACCATCATAAACACACGGCAGTTTCCAATCATCCAAATTTTGATCATGTGACCATTGGGATGCTACAACAGGCATAACTCTGAAAAATGGTCTTAAATCACTTCTTCAGTGCCACTCTAACTCTAACTTCAAAAGCTTACTAAATGATTGGTTGCAATTTGAGAATTACTCGTACTTAGACTTTTAAAAGGATATTTTGTGCATTTGGAGATATAGAATCTGGAACAATCATGATGAATTTATACATACAAATTGGTTTTACTGGGTGATGAATTACAAATATTGTATGTCATTAAGTTGTTATTAATATTTTAAGCCTACCAGGTAAATTATAACTGTCAGGATTCCGACCGAGACCCTATTGAGTTTTCTTTTTGTGTATATGCATGCCTTCATTCAAGTGACGTATTAGTGGATATGACAGGATTTCCTACTTGCCATAATACATTCTCATTTATTATGGAAGATAAATAGGGAAGATAAATTGGGAGAATTAAAGGAAATATGTTTAAAAGTACAGATGCCCAGCAGAAAATATTCTCTATTTCTATTGTGCAAATGAAAGATAATTCCAGCATTTAAAGAAAACCAACTTTAATAAATCAGATATCAGTTCATGACCAGTTGAAAAGAGTCTATAGAAAAATATGAGAATTTGAAATAGTTAAAATAGTTACTATTTTATATAACTGTGAAGTTATATAAGTGAGGTAAGACAAGAATTCCCTTTTGTGGATAATTGCAGCTGAACCACAGCAGGAACTTCCTACAATGTTATAATTTAAAAGAAAATTCTAAAACTGGTTTTGGTGTGGCATCCAATAAATCACAGCAAATAAAATAATCAAATAACAGCTTTTATTCTGTTCCCTCAAATGAATTAAACTAATCGGCTCAGAATCCAAAATGTTTCAAAACATCAATTTGGAAATTCCCACTGTATCTCTGAGATTCCTTTTGATATAGTATATTATCAAAACAATTCTTTCCTGTTTGAGTTGTGAAAGGTATTGCTTTTTAAAATAATGTCTTTATACAGTAACGAGAATCTGTTTCCATAGTTACGGTACTATAGTTCACATAATTCTCAGAGGGGTCTGCTAGCAAAGTTTCTATTTCAGATATAGACTGCAATTCTTGGCTTCCGTTACTGTTTTCCTACCAGACCCAGTAATAAATGTAAACTGGAACATTCAGTCTTATTAAACAACAAGTATGATGTTTTATGACCATGTGTTTGTGTGTGTGCGCGCGCGCTCGTATGTACATTTATGTATATATTTATGTATGAGGTTTATCTGAATGAATTTTTCAGAATTCACTACGATACTTTAATGATTTTATGTTATTCCATAAGTTTATATTCAGTTAATGTACATGCATAAAAGGTTAATTAGTATTTTGATGAAAAAGTTGCATGAGAAGAAACAATTAAAATGCTAATAACTATAAGCAATATGGGGGAAAAACCGCATGTCCCAAAGAAAAGACATGAAAGAACTACGCAAATTATTAAATTATTGTGCTGATTCCTTCTGTAAAGTTTTATTTAAACTGTGACAAAGAAGAATATATCCATACATTAAGAAATAAAAGCAAAGTTGCAGAAAAGCTAGAGATGAATGGACAATTACCATAGTGTCACTATAACTGTTTGGCAACCAATATAAGCCTGGCAAAATCGGAAGAGTTGACAAATTGAACCATAATTGGAGACTGAAACAGATAATCATTTTCTTAGCTGAAAGTAATTACAACTTAGAGCATCTGATTATGGAAGTATGAATGGAAAGAGAAAATTCCAGGTGAATGTTAAATGTTAATACGAATGTAATTTCAGTAAGTATACTGAATAAAAGTATAAATGGTGGCAAAGAAATAAAAGTGGTAGTAGATTTGCTTTCTTAAGTTCTGATGTAGGGTAGGGATGACAGTGAAAAATTAAAGAGATCAATATTAGAATAGAAGGTAATCATAGTAAAGATATTTTCAATGTGAATCAGAGGTTGGTTTCTGCTGGTTCGGCCTGGATTGGGCAAACCGGTATTGATGGTGGTGGGACACTCTACCTGCCCACAAGCGCAGAAGCATCGTGTGCACACGAACAAACCGGTAATAAAAAAATTGGAAACCTACCTCTGATATCAATATATAGCTGTAACAATTTAATATCATAAAAAATGTGAGAGAGAAAGATAAATGCTTTGAACTGTGGTGAAAGTACAACAGACTCCAAGAAGAACCCATCAGTCTTTTGTGGAAGAATAAAGACTGACGTGAGGCAATGTTCAGCAAACAGAAACTCATATAATTTAATGAGAGAATGATTGATTAGAAAAATGAGAGGGGGGGAACAAAAAAGGAATGGATAAAGGATCTAGGCTTATTGCTGTTGATAGTTTGACCTTAATTGTCCCTGTAATCACAAAATCTGACTTGACACGATTGCATATAATTAGTTAAACCACAGAACATTCATAGAAAACTAGAGTTCTTATTAATAAAACCATCTGAAGAGGAATATCCTCAGGAAGGCTATTTCTAATATTAGGAAAATCATCTCCCTAATATTATATGGTCTGGTTCCCACAGTTTTTATTTTTATGTCTTCAGAGAAATAAATAAAATTATGGCAACATATAATTTTTCATTGAAATATAGTTTCACAGCTCCTTCAAATCTATTTTGTCACTATTTTTCAAAATTTGGGGGATATCTAAAATAGTTCCTTTAATGATCATTCCAAGTTACAATAGCACTGAAAAAGATTTTTAACATTTATGATGTTATCTTATTGGTCACATGATCAAAATTTGGACATTTGGCAACTGATTCATACTTAGAATGCTTGCAATGTCCCAGGCTCATTTAATCATCTTTTGTGACCCTCTAACAATAAAAGTTAGTGGGGAATCCACATTGACTTAACAACTATGTTACTAATTTAACAATATCAGTGATTCATTTAACAACTGTGGTTAGAAAGATCATAAAATGGAACAAAATTAACTTAAAAACTATCTCACTTAGCAACAGAAATTTTTGACTCAGTTGTGGTTGTAAATCGAGGATTACCTGTATTGTATCACAGATTAACTTGCAATTTCATGACAAACTATTGAGGTTTTTTTCACTTGTAAAAATATAGTTCTTGTCTGGTGTTCCTATGACTATCAAGTGAAATGTATATATTGGGTCCATCCCCCCCTTTCTTAGGAAGTTCCGCTGAATGCTAAGAATGCCATTGGAATGTATGAGGGAAAGAAATGACTCTGCTCTTTCTCTTCCATTTCTTCCCATCTTTCTGATGCTGTTGTAAGTGATTTGATTCAGAAGAATTTTGTTCTACAATCATGACTGAAGAAAAGAATCTGGGGGTGTCTCAGAGTGCCTTGTCACATTCAAGAAGTACTAGCAGCTGTTCTTCTAAACAAGGAAGTCGGCAGGTAAATGCAAAATTATATTAATCTTTGTTTACAATCTTCTAGATTTGTGAAGAACATGAATGAAATATATAGTATATTAAGTCCTGGCCATATGACTATTTCAAAGAATCAATCTGATATATTGAGCATGTAATATCAAGAAGTCCATCATGAATTTCGGATGTTTTGTGTCAACATGGCATCATATACCAAATCTAAGACTTATCATTCTCTTGTAAATCACAGTATTGATATTTCATTCCTAGCAGAGCATTTTCTGGAGAATTCGTTTACTTGAAACAAGAATAATGTCACACATTTTTTAAAAAACATTTTTTACAGAAAAATTGGCTCATGTATATAAATGATTATATGTGATAGTAATCCTTGGGCAAATCAATTTGGAAAATTAGGCTCAGCATAACAAGAAACAGGTTTATTATTAAAATAATAGTTATAACTATTAACTTTAATATAGAAAGTAAATAATTGTATACATTGCTTTATGTGATTGTATTTATACTCACCCTGCCTCATCTAAAATGATCTGGATCCATATTTATAAAATTTAGAAAAACAGATCATTTGAACAGCCCCTCATCATTAGAAATTATTGCTGAGTTTTTGTAATGGCTTCCAATTTATCAAAATCTTAGTAAGCTACCAGCAAGACTACAGGATTTAATTAGTTAGCCATTTTATTTATTATATAGGACTAAGATCATTTTTTAATAATTTGAAGATAGCCATTTTCTTATTGTGAAGTAATAAATAAATTGCATGTTTTAAGGTAATAAAAAACTTTATTTGCTTATAAAGCAATGCTTCTCACTTTTTTTTCTTTTTTTTTTGTAATAGTGTTATATGAAAACTTCCACATACGAAGCATTGGCCATGTTGATTATGAATAATGGGAGATGTTTTCCAACATATAATTAGAGAATCATTATAATATTTTTGGTTATGTACAATACATCACAGGGAAATATTACCACTTATTTTTTATTGGAAGTTGCTTCTGATGCTTATTTTCCTCCTTCCTTTTCAGTAACAATATTGGAGAGTGTTTTTGTAATCTACATATTTATTTAAGTAGGAAAAATATATACTTGAATTAAGAAACAAAATAATAAAGAACATTAGATGCAACCCAGGGACCAGAAGTTCTCCCTAGATCTGTTCTTGTATAAAAATTCATTGACTTACTTCCTTTTCTCAAGAATGTAGATTAAATGTATTATTTCTCATGATGATATCAACGGCTAATCCTGGTACCAGCTTCATGTTTATTATCATCCTTTGTCTGTGTATTAACAACACAATTCAAAATTAATATTCTTAGATTTTAGATCAGCTTGATTATAATGATCATGTGTTTTGTAAGTTATTTCGGTAGTATAGTAGGAAAAAATCAGTATTAAGATGAGATTTTGCTTTCATGTCATGTCTCACTGAGTCAATTTGTCTGTCTCTCTCTCAGACACACATATATACATTTGAAAGTAAGACTTGCTCACATATTTTCAAGGTCTCTATGACACATCCTTTGAAACAAATAAAAGAATAAGAAAAGATTTGATGGATTACAGATCCATTTGCCTAGCAGACTGTTTTCAAAGGAGGCAAATCCAGTGCTTCTGTAAGGTTTATTGCCAAGTCATGAAGAGGCGGGGGGGACGACACAACACATCAACTTTTCAACCCTCAATAACTGCTGTTGAAAGAATCTGGAAGCACAAAGGTTCAGTAGACAAATGCAACTACGTTTCATCTTTTGCTATGTTTTCATGAACTCCAATTACCACAGAAATGGCTTTTATTGTAAATGCTCAGTTGTAAACTGCCCAGTGTCACTAAGGTGAGATGGGCAATATAATAATTCAATAAATAAATAAAAATAAATAAATGTTCCATTTAAAATCATTTACAGGTAAAGTGTAAGAATAGTTCCCTTTCTATTCTGCTTATTAAACAAAAACATAGCTAAAATAGTTCAAATCATCAAATCTTTATAAGGTCTCAGAAAGCATTTGCATGTTGCTGAAACAATACTTCTTTCCAAGTGACTTTTAATCAACACCTTCAACTATAACTGACAAAGGTATTGATCATTTCCTTAGCAATCCCACACACAAAAATTGATCCTGCTTTTCCAATAAATGCCACTGCTTTTGATAAAACTTTATTGGATCCTTGGACTTCACAAGGGCAGGTGATGACCAATTTACTATATTCCATAAACACGTTTATTAAGTGGAAAAATTACCAAAATAAGGTACAGAAGTGTTGATTTTAGAATGGCATTACAGGTAGTCCTCGATTTATGATTACAATTGAGCCCAAAAATTCTGATGCTAGTAAGACAGTAGTTAAGTGAGTTTTTTACCATTTTACAACCTTTCTTATCACAGTTGTTAAGTGAATGACTGTGGTTGTTAAAATTAGTAACACAGTTGTTAAGTGAACCTGGCTTCCCCACCGACTTTGCTCATCAGAAGATTGCAAAAGGTGATCACATGAACCCAGAACACTACAACCATAATACAGCTGTGAGGAAAAAGCCCTGCACGCTTTACAGTTTATGGTTTACAGTTTATGACATTTTTTGGATAGGCCATTTATTTTATGATATTTTATGATAACTGCTATGGAAATATTGTTATATTTAAATAAATACTGGTGGTTTTTAAGTGAAAAGCATTAGCTTTTTGCAATTTGGTGCTGTTTGGATGAGGATTGTGAATTTTCTTGCATGCTTACAATGCATGCTTATAATGACTATGAAAACAGATTAACTGATGCATATCCAGTGGCATACGTGTTACAATTACTAAGGGTGATGCTAGTGTTTTGTTAACAATCCTGAAAAGGATTGTTTAGGTAACCAAACATGGTTACTAATATGAAACTGGCCAGGCCTTATTGTTTATCAACAGGTGGCATCGCTTTGGCATAAACTGTATAAGCCTTTGCACATGACCTTTGGTGACAATGTGGTGCCAGACTGCAATAATGGTTTCAATCAGCTCCTGCTTGGTTTTCGGATGCTTCTTGCTTATTTCGTAACCAATCTTGGCTCACAAGTTCTCAATTGAGTTCAAATCCGGGCTCTGAGCTGGCCAATCCAGGAGTCGAACACCATGCTTCTTCATCCACTGCTGTATGGACTTGGCTCGATGACAAGGAGCGTTGTCATCCTGGAAGTAAAAGTCCTTTCCTACAAATTGCTGAGCTGAAGGAAGCATGGTCTTTTCCAGGCCTTCAACATACTGCTTGGAATTCATGATTCCCTGCACAATTTGTATCCGACCAATACCAGAAGCAGCGATATAGCCCCAGATCATCATGTGCAATGGATGCTTCACAGATTCAAGCAGTACAGCCTAAATTCTTTAGCTGGAAATCTTCTGACATACTTATTACACTGATTCCCAGTCAAGTAGAAATTGCTCTCATCACTGAGGATGACCTTGGTCCACTGTTTGTTGGTCCACTTGGCATACTTCTTGGCCCATGCACGTCGATGAGAGAGGTGAGCGTCTGTGAGCAAAGTTTACTTCGCGCCCTGCAGCCTTTGGGCCCTCTGGGAAGCAGTTTGCAATGCACTGTGCTTGTGCACACTTTTACATCACATGTTTCATCCCAACTTCTTGTAATCTGAGGTGAGGTGAGCTTCCTGTCAGCCATTGAAATGCATTGCAGAGCCAGATCTTGCCGTTTTGTCGACTTTCTTGGTCTTCCAGAGCAGAGCCTGTCATCAACTGAACCAGTTATTTGGTATTTTTCAACCACTCTGCTCACTGTGGTGCAATGGCATTTCACTCTCTTGGCTATTTCTATACAGGAGTAATCCTCTTCATGAAGCACAATGATGCGATGCCGCTGCTCAGTACTGGTGAAAGCAAAGGCCTTCATCCTTGCCCGCAGCCAGAGCTAAATTAAATTTCTCGATGCTTTTCATGCCTATTTATAGTCAGACAGCATGACAACATTGATTAGTTCATAGATTTAGCCTCTGTGCATTTTGATTGGTTAGCCAAAGCTTGCTGCTGATTGGCTACTTTCGATCCTAACATTCTCAAAAATTCAAGTTGTGTTTGTTTTAGCACATAAACTGACTCAAAACCTTAAAAAGACTTTGGTTATATTAATAAAAATTATGCATCTCAATCCAACTACAGAAATTTTCATCAAAGTACTAATTTTGCATGGTTTCTATGAGTGAAAAGTTGATTAAACTTGTAAATACAGTTTAAAACTGAAAGCGTACAGGACTTTTTAACACAGCTGTAAATATGAACCAGTTGTCAAGCATCTGAATGTAAATCACATGATCATACAGATGCTGCAATGGGTGTAAGTGTGAAGTAACAGTCATGTTACTTTTTTCAGTTTATTGTAATTTTGAATGGTCACTAAATGAATGGTTGTAAGCCAACCTATGTTAAAAATGCAGATATGGTACCTTTTTATTTTCTTTTTTACTTTTCCACATTAAGAAAACTTTAATCCTATGTTTCTATAACATTGTATTTAAAAAGAAATAATTATGATCTCAAATTACATTTTTACTTTTAAATGATTCACACAATTCAAAAATATGTGATGAATTTCTTGGGGAACAAATTATTGCTACAGAAGAAGAGCAAAGAATTAGTTGTGAACTTTTATAAATTTGCCTTTTTATTTCTAAAAAGAATATTGCTTATGGGATTTTCACCTTTGGAATCCACTCATGGCTGTTTTCAATCCTGCAGACCTATGATTTTGATGAATTGGTTTCTTTAAATCTCTGCTTTCCATAGAAAGCTCTGGTCCTCCCATCATGCTGGAACTAGTGAGATTTAGAAAAAAGCTAGAAAATAAAAAATGTCAATACAATTATTTTCAGGTTTCTGTAGGGGTTCCACTGAATGTAGTGAGATATAGGAAGTAGCCATTGTTTTTAGGATTGCACATTTAATAGTATGCATCACAACCCCTCCAAGCTTCCAAACTTTCGCAGCTTAATATATGTAAAA